GTTGATTATAACCGGATTAGACACAGACTTTACACGTGAATCCATTGAGTTGTTTGCGTTGACTCTTGCCCCTCACCACCGGACCCAATGTCTTAACCTTGAGCTTCACCGGCGATGTCGACCTCCTAGTGGCCAACGATTGCTTCTGACTGCCACTCGCTTTGCGCTCATTTGTGTCCACTTTAGACATCGCCGTTGACATCAACTGTGGCCACAATTGTCTGCAAACGATACACACAAACAGTCAATGAATTGGTCGTCAAATAAATGCTATATTTGTATCAAAAATACTTTCAAATCAAATGAAACGACAAATGACTGCAAAATAACTGTTAAACAAATCGATTCAATGTTTACTTCACCAACAAAAGCCTTCCTATGATTTGCACACAAATAATGTCTAATAATCACAAAAAGGGGACAAATATTTCAACACAAAAATCCATTAAAATACAAATAAAAGGGATTACTTTATACATCAACACGTTATTCATTGACTCTATATTAACTCAATTCATAAAATGCGCCCAAAATTGAATGAAAACTTACGTACAGTTAACACCCGCTATAGTATCGAATAATTACACAAACTTTACGGTATATATTAATAAATGAATTACTAAACTATTAATTAAAACAATTAAACCACAACTAAATCCCAACCATAAAACTATGACACAATACACACCATCACTACAACACAGGGATCGCTGATAACTGATCCGCGCGTGTCATACAGTACTGAGCTATACGTCAGCCTTATGTGAGTCTCACAGACAGACAGTGAATGTGAGGCCAACTCAGCGCTCAGTGAAGGCATCGACACATCGCTTGTTATTGACCACCGATTGCTGATAATATCACCGCCAGAGTCACCCGCAAGTCATGTCCAACGCTGATAACAACGGCACCGCCGATGGCGACGTGTCTTCGGAAGAGGTAAAAGTGGACAAATGGGACGGAAATGCTGTGAAGAACTCGTTGGACGACGCCGTGAAGAAGGTGTTGACGGACTCGGACCGCAAACTGGGATACACTGAGAACCACGTGTTGGTCGACA